AAAAACAACAACAAAAAAAACACTTCCGTTACTTTATCATTTTAAATGTATATAAAAATGTGTTTACATTAATGCTCTTACAAAGAAAGTCAAAGGGGAAAAATATTTCAGAAGGTTTAAAGAAAAAGTCTTTTCTGCACAAGATTAAAGTTGTAAATATGTCAATTTGAAAAATTATTGACATTTTTTTTACATTTTGAATGAATACATTAATTGATATTTTTTAAGTGTATTTTTTATACCATGTATGTCTTTCCATTGTTTCTTTCTTTTGACCTAGTTTTCAGTTTGTATAGTTAATTGATTATTTCCCACCTTTTTCTGTTCTCCCTCGTTACATCTTGTTATTTAGGCCCTGTGTTTCCCGAGTTCTGTGTCCGGTATTGTGTTTGTATGGTTGTGTTACACGTGTTCCCACAAGTTATCTCCTAGTGTTTCCTCTGTGTCTAAATAAAATAGTGTTTTTGAATTCTCCTTGTGCTTGCATGTTCAACACGTGACCAAAATATTATTTTTTTTGAAGCTGTTAAAAAAAAAAAAAAAACCCGTACTGGAGTATGTTGTAAAAGAAAATACTATTTCAGAATGATTATATTTCAATATTTAATTTCTGCTTCAAAATTTCACATTTACTTGTTCAATGTTTTACTTGCCATTTTTTTTTTTTTCTTTTGTGAAATTTACTAGCAGTTTCTGAGGGAAAATTGTTTCAAAATAAACCCTACACCATTTTTTTTCTCAGTGTAGTTAACAGGAGATGAAAAATTGGATATAATTTTTAGGGCTGTCAGTCGATTAAAATTTTTAATCGAATTAATTTCATGATGTTTCGATTAATCTAATTAATCGCAATTAATCACAAAATACATTTGACTGTGAAAATACCCACAAAAGATTATTTAAAGCTATTTTTGTGTTAAATGAGAAAGTATCAAGTAGGCATTACAAATTGTAGAGTTTTTTCAACATAAAATGTATTACACATAAACATTTAGGCTTACAACAGCCTAACATAAACTATGGAACATAAAAGAAGATAATTTGAGAAACATCTCAGAATTTTTGTTCATACAATGAAAGTCATTGGTAACCAAAACAGCTTTGTTACCAACAGTCTTCAAAATACCTTCTTTTATGTTCCACAAAAGAAAGAAAGTCATTCAGGTTTGAGTAAATGATGACAGAATTTAAATTGTTTTGGTGAACTATCCCTTTAATGCTATTATTATTATTATTATTTTAAATTAAATACTCTAAATAAGAAAATAAATCTGCCAGCAGGTGGCGGTAAATGTCTTCATTCGATTCGTTCAAACGGCTGATTCATTTAGGAATTCAGTAAACGACTCTCTTTATGAATGGGCCTTTGAATCATTGATTCACACGATTCGTTCAAAACTCGGATTCATTCAGAAACGAAACACAATAACAGTTCTGCTGTGGCTTTAAAGGTAATATATTCTCTGCAAAATTGAGCAAAAACATAAGATTCTGTTTAAAATATTACACAATATCAACTTCTTTTTTACTGAACTGTTGTATAAAATCACATTTAAAATTGTGATATTCAGGACAAAATCACTCATGTGATATTGCTCTCGCTCATATAAATATGAGACAAAAACTCATACAGGGGCATTTTTTTGTCCCAATAGCTTTAATTTTAGAGCATAACTGCATTTATGGAGTTGTTGCCCTGCATCATGTTTGTCAACAGTCAACTGTATGAAATGTAAGATGACTTACAGGTCTGGGGGCGGGGCCAGTGCGTTAACTGCGTTAAACTATTTTAATCGCGTTAATTTTTCATAACTAATTAATTAACGCGTTAAACTGACAACCATAATAATTTTATTACACTACTGTCATGTTGACACATAATGTTTAAGTCTCGTGACTATAGTTTCTATAGTCTGTTTTATCCTGCTGCAATGCTTTTCCCCATAGACTTCCACTGTATCACTGTACACACAACTGAGGAACAAATAAAAATGATTTTCTGTGTTAATCTGCAGCACAGATGTAGAACTTGAACCCGGAACATTCCTTTAATATGTTTCTTCCTGAAGGCCAATAACATGTAAAACTCTGACCCTTTACAAAAGAATCACATGCCACACAGATATACAATAATCATTTCATTCATTCAGCTACACAATCTGCATTATGAAACATGCATATGTTTCAGCTAAAATATTTATATGTGTCATATACTTACTCTGTAAGACAACAGGGCGTTACAATTAGGGTATAACTTTAAAGTTAATTAATCATATGAGAGAAGGGTTTGTTTGAAGATGAGACATAGTGCTGCCATTTAACCCTCAAGTTCTGTTGAGATTGACTTGCTAATAATAACAATTTAAAAATTAGCTAATTTCCCTTCAAATTATTTTATTCTTTTACTCTGACCTAGTCAAAACAGATATCATTGAAGCCTTTAAAACCCTCTGTTTGAACATAAATTTGGCATGCACATTGACAGCTGAATATTATCTAGTACGTTTTTTTATTTATGTTTGGGGTGAAAATCTGTTGAAAAAAACTAGATTTTTACAATTTCTTAACAAATCTTGAGTGTTTTTTTGTTTTGTTTTTTACCAGCGCAAGATAGAAATGTAATATTTAAAAAAGCAAAACTACACTTCTGCATGATTTGAGGTGTCATTCATGTCTGTCACACAAATATTGAAATGACAATTTGTGTCAAAAAAACAAAAACAAATTTATCCTCATTCAGGTCATGGTTCATGTGTTTTTTTTGCAGTGAAATCTTTACTGAATTTTATAAAGTAAACTTAAGAATAATTGTTATATTTTTAGAAATATTTCAAGATGAACATTTACGGACTGAAGCAACTATGGTTTACTTGATTATTAATACATAATTTTTAGAAAAAAGTGAGTATGTGAGTATCAGATATGATACATCGGGCTTTTGAGGAACATTTGTTCATACAATGTCTCAATCTTCACTGTATTGCATTGCATTATATGTTTTGCTCCCACAATAAAACTACAGAGCTTTGATCATAAACCTATGCATTTATATTAGTGCTGTCAAAATTAATGCGTTAACGCATACAATTATTTTTCAATTTAATGAGTTAAAAATATTTAATGCAATTAACGCAGGGGCGAAGCTAGGGTTAGCCACCCCACTCACAACTGCTGCTTCTGGTTACAGGTGAAGAGGGAGCTTCAGTAGAACAACAGTGAACTGCGGTCAGATGAGATGTTGTCAGGCCATATGTCAGTAAAAAACAAATTTCCTGTCCTGTCAGCAGTTATACTGTGCTCGTAGCACGTGCTCTTCAATTGCACACACAAATGTGATGGTGCGCTCTGTATATTATAGCATGTTAAAGCGCAAAATAAACTACGAGCATGCAATGTCGTAGTAATGTCGTCAGTTTGCTTAAGTCATGAAGTTACTAAAAAGGCGATTTAAGCTGCCTTAAAACTGTGCATGCATGTATATGAGTCAGATTTAAGAATATGTCTCTGAAATGCAGCTGTTTTAAAAACTGTCCTTGACACCCCAGCACTGTCTCCCTCATCTAACACACCCGATTCAACTCGTCAGCTCATTACTAGAGACTTTAAGAGCTGAAGTGGGTCAGAAAAGGTAAAGAGTTGTGAGAAAATACGATGCGTGTCAGATCTGCGTCATGTTCAGCAGCGGCAGATCTTAAAGCAGCCAAAATAACCTAATAACCCAACTGCTGTGATGTGTCTTAATCAAAGAACAAAAGAAAAGGAGGAAATCAATCATTTTTGTAGCTTTAAGGATTCATCTATATTTAATGTAGAATTTAGAATTCGATAACTATATTCAATTTCTGTATATTTCCTACTTGCTGAAGGGCACAGGTAGCTAAATATGACATTTATTATAATGGGTTTATGTGAAGATTGCTTTAAGTTCACTTAAATTAGAAGTTGTTACTTTTTAAAGTCTAATAAATGTTAAAATTGATAGCTCTCAATTATACTGTAATGTTGAATGGCTATAATCAATGGTTAAATATAAAAAGATTTCATAGAGATCATATAGTATTGGTATCAGTGATACTCGCCTTCAGTCATAAAAAAGATGCCAATAGACAAATATTAAAAATATACTGTCTTTATGTTGTTTCTGCATTAATTTGAAGATTGAATGTGAAATTATTGCAATATAAAAGTTAATTAAAAAACTTTAATGTTAGGTAGGATTAATCACGATTAATTTCAGAAAAAATGTGATTAATTATTTTTGATTAATTATTGTAATGATAATTTTTTTTTATCGATTGACAGCACTAATTTAGATATCATCGTACTGAGACATATTATAAGGAGATACAGTATAAAGTGACAACTGATAATTATATACATTTTATGTAAGTAGTCTGTATAAAGATCTCATCGACTTTATATTACAATCTATCAGACCTTCATCTTACATTCTGGCCATAAAAATCACATGTGAGCTCCATATTCTCCTATATTATACTATATGAGCCATAAAAACCTGATGTATCAAATATGATACTCAACAAAAAACACATATGCAAACTTTTTTTTAGATTTTTTTTTCATATTTTCTCTAAAGGTTCAAAAAACTTCCAAAAAAAAAACAAAAAAAAAAAAAAAAATATATATATATTTTTCTAAATATTATTCTTTTGCCAGGCTTTACAGAATAACCTTAAATAACACTTTTTTTTGGCTATTAAATTATCAACCATTCAGACCCCAAACAAAATATGAGGGTTAAATTTGCACCATCATGTACAGTAATCATATGCCACAATGCAACATGTTTCTGTGATAAAACATCACAATATCAACGTGTGTGATGAACACTAATAAAAGTTCCCTAATCAATATGATCAGGCAAAAAACATCAGTTCCATCAGAAACACATTTGCATACTTTTGCCGACACCACCTCTTCCTGTTATTAAAATGCTTTGCGAAAAGGCAGAATGCGTAAGTGGCTTCTTGCACAGTCGCCTAGGCAACCGAATCCTCATTTCCTGGATCCCTAGTGCTGGCCATTCTGACCAATACCTTCTTCCTGAGTGGACTCTGAGCTGCATCTCCCACGACCCCCGAACGGGCCTCAGGAGGGAAGGAGTGCGTCGACTGGTCACTATCCGAAAGCAGTTCTGACAGGCTGCTCAGCGAACATACATCCGATTGGTCAAAAGAGAATTGTGGGAGGGGCAAATGACTTGGCAAAAGAGGTTCATCCTGCATATCAGGAAGTTCTATGGACTCCCGTGGTAGTGCGGAATCGAAGGATGGTGTCCGCCGTCTTAGGACTGTGCTATGCTCCTGACTGACCGATGGCGAGAGAAACTCCGCGTCGGTAGGAGGGTCGATGGAGATGCACGGCGGGCTCATTTTCTCCTTCTTGGGCATTGGAGAAGGTCCAGGTGATGGTGAAATTGGCTGCTTCTGAAGCAGTAACTCTTCCCCGTGCGTCGAGTGACGCCGGGGGATGTGGAGTTGAGATAGGAAGCCATTATTTTCCATACTGTTGTACTTCCGTAGACTTTGAGCGCTGGTATCCGGTTGGCGGGCCGCCCCACCGTGCAAGGGTTCGTAAGGGGACAAATTATGGCTGCGCGCCACACGCTGAGAGGCTCTTCTTTGGGTAATGTTCATGTTGAGTCGGACCACCTCATCCGAATCCTGTAGTTTGGTTTGTGCGTGTGTTATTTCAAGAGGTTTAATAGATTGCGTCTTGTACGAGGCCTGTCGACAGGGGATGCTGCGCTGGCTGTACACATGTCTGTTTGTTTGTATGCTCGCTGTCCGGTTGCGGAGGGGAGGCGGGGGTGAGGCCTGGGGCGAACAGGGGGCAGATCCACCGGTGAGGGGAATGCTGGGTACTTTGAGATGAAGATTATCAATGGAGCAGGGCTTGCTCGGGATGTGTAAGGTATCTCTGGAGTCAGCGTTTGTGGAATCAATTGAGTCACTCTTTATTGCTTGCTGCAGGTAAAAACAGATGTAAATACACGCATTTAAAAACGATTCATTACTTATATTAAATTATATGAAATTAAATAAATACATCATCAATAGTGTATATAGTTACAATTAAATTTGAATTATATTATTAGCATAACAATTAGCATGATTTTCAGAATGTTTTAGTATTTGGTTTGTCTCTCTTTTGCTTTGATGACAGCAGCATAAACCTTTGTGTAAAGTTTGTGTAAAATCTGATGATAACGTTCACAGCCTGATTTGAGATTTGGTCCAATGTAAGTAAGAACATCTGTCCTTTTGTATAAATGTTCACTTGATCAATGTCATAATTCTTGTTTCATTAGTGACAAAGCATTTCATTGTAAATGTCTAATAGTAATCTGTTGTCATCCCTAGTATAAACAAATAGTCATGAGGATGAGAGTTGATGTATTACCTGTCTCCGCAGGGCTCTGAAGGCATTGCTAGATCTTGCTCTTTGATTTAGAGGGTGGGGACCAGGAATGGATGCCAGGTTTGTCTGAGATGCAGTTCCTGGAACCTGCATTACGGCACTATCTTCAAAGGGCTGGGTGCCGAGTGAGAGAGAGGAGCCTAAAGAATACACAGCTTTAGTCACATTCTCTCTCTGCACGTGTGCCATGACCAGTAAGAATTGGCTTTGTTTTGTCACCTGGTAGTGTAGAGTCCTGTTTGGAGAATCTCTCCTGAATGGACCTATATACAGGCTTAACAGGATAGAGCATGTAACTGTCATTAGGTAAGGACAGCATCCGTGATATAGATGGCCTGCTAACTGTCAGGAAGTTGCCATAATTGGGGTCTTGGCCCTGTAAACACAACAAATGTATGTAACAAACAGTAACGTTTTTCATTTTCTTAAAAGCAGGCTTGAAGACACTACATATTCTTAAAAAACCTGCAATATTTATATAATAATAATAATAATGACAATTATTATCATATAAAAATTACATATTACAATATTATATATATATATATATTATTATTATTTTTTATTTTATTTTATATAATATATAACCTGTCCTATACTCAAATTAAACATTAAAGGAAAAAGATTGATGCACTTTAAAACTTTATATGTTGACTTTAAAAATTTTTTTAAAAACAGATTTATTTTTAACCCTATGGTATTCCTCAGTAGGGGTCACACTTGTGAGCCTTGGCAGTTAAAATAGACTGAAGACAATAAGATTAAGAGCATGTTTTAATTAAATAAATATAATTTTTTCCCCAATGATTTTTATTCTTTAACATGTTGTATTTTGAAGGGACCTTTAAATTATGCATTCTAGATAAAATAATATAAATATAGAAAAAATATTTTCTGACATAACTACTTAGTTTTACTAGGTTTTCCAATTAGATATATATTTAGACATTAACAAAGACTACTTTTTACTACTTTTACTACTACTTTAAAAAAAAAAACATTTAAGCCTTTTCTAATAACCTTCACCCAAGATTCAAGTATAGTAAACTAAACTTTCAGTTTTTATTTTCTCATCGTAAACATATCTAAAATACATGTAGCATTACTCTAATAATATCTATTAAATATATTTGGGGGGTTGCATGGCATAATATTTTCAAGAGAACTGTCAACACATGGCCTTATATAGAAAGGTTTTTAAAAAACGTACAGAACTCACCTGTTCATGTGAGAAAGTCTCCATTTTAACAGCTGAAACCTCAAGCCCAGTGGCTCCGCCTACAGAGGCGGTGCTTTGTCTACGACTGCCATGAAGCTCTTTCTTCAACTCTGCCTCCATCTCGGCCTCCTCACGGGCATCTTTGTTACTGTCCTCTAAATGTTTCATGAGCACAGCGACCACAACATTCACCAGCACAAACTGTGCTATCAGCACGAATGTCACAAAGTACAGAGGCGACAAAAGCGGCAGGTAACTCAGGCATTTGTCATTTTTACATTCCCGCAGGGTATCCTAGACACACACAGAGAAACACAGGAATTGTAAGTTCTGTTCAACTCAAAAAGTGACAAGTCCTGATAATGTACTGTATGTTGGCGACAGCTGATGGCCTCACTCTTAAAGGGGTCATAGGATGCCCATTTTCCACAAGTTGATATGATTCTTTAGGGTCTTAATGAAAAGTCTGTAACATAGTTTGGTTAAAATTTCTCAATGGTAGTGTAAAAAACACATTTTACCAATTTATGTAGATTGGGGGCACATTCCCTTCAGAAACAATGTAATCCACTGCGAGTTCAGCGGCTCAGATGTCGGGAGTAAATGACGACTGCTATGTTCATTATTACATCCAACAACAGAACACCTTAATCGCTTAGGAGTCATTCTTGTCTACATCTGCTCCAGCGGTGAAACAATGGCGGACTGATGACAGCTCACTCAGGGTGGGTCTAAGGTAAGACACCAGTCCAGTCTGTGCTGAAACGCTACTGTCAATCAAACTAAGTTTTGGGTTTGGAATGACATGAAGGTGAGTTTAAGTCTAATTAAGAGCTAACATTAAACATCCACATTCCATAATCACGCATTTATGGCATGCAGCATGAATATTTTCATGGTTCGCAAAATACCTTCATGATTCCATTCCAGTTATCTCCAGTGGAAACACGGAACAGAGTGAGGAATGCCATGCCGAAATTCTGAAATGTAGCATGTCTGCTCAATCCCTCACACGGATTCTCCTCAGTGCATTCTGATTTAAAAAATAACTTATTTTAATACTTCATCTCCAAAGTTCATTTATTTTATGTAACTACATTCACTCTGCAAGTCAGTAAGATTCTGAAGTTATTACTTTTATTCAGCAAGGATGCATTGTACTGTATTGATCAAACATGACAGTAAAGACATTTAACCCCCCCCCCAA